GTATAGGAGATTGTCTGGAGCTTTTGTGGAACTAGGCGATGCCATTTATCAACAACCAGTGTGAGTAGGTAGAATATAGCTTCCTGCGCTTGTGTACGCTCATTTACTAACAAGCTACTTTGAAGGTGTCACCATGAGCATATTTGTACTTCACAGCTGCAGCACTGGATCAGCTATGTATTTCTGAACTAACACATGCCACATTGCTGAAGATTGTGGTTCTAATACAACTTGAGAGTGAAATGTGACCTCAAAATCGGCAACAAGAAACACTTGCTGCATAAGAGTATTTCATGACCCAAATCCTCACTGTTTGCATGGAACTGACCTCGATCCTGACTGAGTATCTCACTACTGAAGTAAAACCAAGTCTAGGGACTGTATTGCGGTTAGTCAGCTATTTGGTAGGAATCGGTTAAGTTAGCTTTGGATATGGAATTGTAATTGAAATGTAAGCTGTATTTTCATTTTTTTCATTTTCCTGGTCTTTCTTTTGGCAGAGTTTAAGAAAGATGTGGATATTTAAATAGGTAGGTAGATTTCATAGTTTACTAAGGGAACTTTGGTAAAGATGCATTATTAAAAACTGATATAATAAATGATAAAATTTTGGGGTAAGAATAGTCATTGTTTTAATGGTATATGTTCTATGCAGGCTTAACCAGGTACCTATTTTGTTTCAAAAGGATACCTATCAGGCTTTTCATTTATATATGGGGAATTGGTAGAAGGAAGGATTGTCAGTCACAGCCATTTTATGAACTTAGTAATTTGATAATGGTTTTCAAGTAAGCATTTTTCTTGAGGGAAGTCTTTTAACACCATTTTATCTGACGCTTTGATCCATCAGTTATATCTTGAGGTGCTCAAATATTATGAGTTTGTTTTATGTGAGCTTCTCTGGATAGGAGGCAGTTGGGTAAACTCACCAGATAGTAAAACTATTTTTTATAGTTTTTATGAATATTCATACTGAGGTAGGAAGTGTGTACATTGATAGGTATTTTTCACTTGTTGAGTATTAGTAGATGTTATTAGGGCACTTACATACTTCTGTTGATGCATGTATGTTTGAAAATTGAAACAAGTTTGCAAGCATGCATTTAATCACTTACTAAAGTTGCTTATTTACATTTTGATTAGAAAGGACACAAATATTAAATGTCCTCATGCATTTGCAGTGATTGCATTTGATTGTTTGTTTGATAGCTTTTTGATCTCTGCTGCTCATGATTTTTGTTCCATATCAAACTAACTCTTGTGCCTCTGAATCATCCACAAAGAAGTGTGTACTTTGCAATGCTTTAACCAAATGTTTTATATCCATTTGGCAAAGTATCCAAAAGTTACTTGGAATGTTGTACCAAGAAGCTTTACTATGAAGTCAAAGTACAGTTAACATTTATGATATACAGTAAAATGATGAAACACCAAAATAGTTTGGCAGAACTTGTCCAAAGTGCGTGTGCTGCTTTTTGCCTCATTTCATTCTTATGTGGATGTGATGTCATTTTTCTAAATGGGCATTAGTTCGTATTACATATGATGCAAGATTTTTGTGAGAAAATTTACACTTTGATAACAGTGACCTTCTATCAAAGAGTGTAATTATTTTACCTTTATTTTAGAAGCAAAAAGCTTTTTGTAGTAACATTGTCACCAGATTGTCACTTTTTCAGCTGCTTTGGGATTTGTTAGACTTGCATCCTTCAGAGAATTTCTTCATGTTGCTTGCTCCAACAATTGATTCTGCCAGTGTTGGTTGATTGGTTGGTTGATTGGCTCCTTGGTTTGGCTGTGAGAAATTACAGATGGATTTTGAAAAAAAGGCATGGCAGTCATGGTTGTAGGACCCAATTAAAAAAAAGGACATTGGTCATGGTCGTAGGATGATCAAATTTTGAGGGTGAGCCTGGTTTGTGTATGTATTTAGGGTCTAATCACCAGTGCGATTCATCATAGGAAATGAGTCTGCTGGAAAATGTATTTTCTTCTAAAAAATTGTAGTAGGCTTGTTATTATTTTGTAACTGGAGTTTTGATTGTTGGCAGATGTCATGGCTACAAGGATGCTATTTGTTATTGTTAGTGTTGTGACCAGCCCATCCACACTGCCAGATCTCCCCCAACCGACACCCCAACCAACTTATCCACATCTTCCACATCACTGCCACATCCACCTCATACAATTACACTTCAGAGCAGATGCAGCAGCAAACCGCAAACTCCCTATCCACATTCCCCACCGCCAAAGGCCCATCCTTCACAGCTACCCCTACTGCCCGCTTATCTACCGACGCTACACCCACAACGCTCTTCCATCAGCAGGGCTTTTTGTGTGGAGGAAAACTGAATTTTTGCTTCCATTTTCTCTGGTAAACACACTCAAAGAAACCACCAAATAACTTGTGTAATGTGTGCCTGTTTCACTTAACTTTATCCTCCTCCAGTCCGCGCCGCTCAGCATCAGATGACTTTTTTTCATGATTTTGTTTTCATTTTTTTGAGTGGTATGTATTGGAGATTGGAACTTGAAGATGAGAAATAAGAAGTAATCTATAGAATAAGTAACAGTGCAGAGTTTTAACAAGAGCTGATTGGAACATGCTTCAAAGATAGCATTGACAGCTCGCTTACATGAAAAGAATTGCAACCTTTTCATTTGTATGGGCTCTGAAGATTTGTTAGAAATTACTCAAGGTGGCAATGATTTTTTTTTCCCTCCGATAGTCGCCGGTTATAATTTTGGGTCTGAAACATTTTTTACAATAACATTATTCTCTGGGTAAGGGTAAATAGCTCAAATTGAGTTGATTGCAATAAGTTTTATAGAGATGTGAAATCGAAGTCTGTGGGCGGGAGTTACGAGGCGAAATGACAAAAGTAGCTTCTGTTCCGAAAGGGAAGTTCGGGTCAGCCAGCTTGAAGGTGGCTGGCCGCGGCGCCGTTGTCTCGGGAAGGAGCGATTGCTGGATGTTGATTTGCGGCCCGCCGTCCGCTCGTCCGTCTCGTGCTGCGTCCTTGGCGAAGGACCCGTTTGCCGTCGCCGCCCCTTCCCCGGAGAGCTGCGATTTTCAGGAACATTCTAACTTTGACAGCCTTCGTCCAGGAACTAAGCTTGCAGCCGCTATCGTAGTGATGCTGTAATCTTTAGTCGGTCCTCGTAGCATAGATTTAGGTGGGAGGGAGTTGTTTCGGCACTTTTGCTTTCTAGTTCAAATGTATAGCGGGAAAGAAAAATAGATTATGAAACAGGTTATGAGAATACAGATCTACATACCAGACAGACTTTGTCCATCAAAATTTACTTTTACTTAAAATACTAGCATGGTCTGGAACTCAAGATTCGAGAAACTGAATTCCTGGTCACCATGTGGCGTGAATCTACATATTAAAAATCTTTAAGGATTTTTTTTTTAGGGTTGCGCTCCAGACCTCGGAAGTTTATTAAAAGGTGCGGCGCCGACTGGCTCACGTGACCTTGTTTCCCGCCGCGAGATGCAGGGGACGTGACGCTCATGAAGATCATGGCATGTAAAGCCCCCGAGGGAAGATGTGCATGATCGGCCAGTCCCGTTGAAAAGGAGCCGGGGGCCTCAGCGAGTGTTAGCGGACCTGAAGATGGCGCTTAGTCCTTCGAGACTCGCGAGGACTCTCATAGGGCGCAGTCCTGGCTGTCACGTTGGGGTTACTATCGCTCTTAGTTTTATTTAATGTTCCGGGGTTTTGCCTTCCGAGAACAGCTTCAGAGTATAGGTTAAACGTATACCTCTTGCTGGTACATCATTTTTATTTGAATGATCATTCGGTATCATTGGTACGCTCCCTTTTTTGTCAGCATTATCATCGAACCGTATATTAAAATTATTATTAACGCACATTGGCTCTCACAGTTGTTTCTAAAAAGTACGTTCAAACTTCGCTGGTTTGGTATCAAAACCACAAGATTTCTCGACGCGCAGCTAGGCCAGCCCTTCGACACTCGTGAACGGCCGCCCTCATCGGAGCCTCGCTCGGTAAACAGCACATGCCCCGCCATGCAAGAATTCGCCCGATCGACTGTGAAAATAGAGGTGTAAGATGAGTAAATCTTTAAGCTTAAAGATGCACCGGGCTCCCGATCGATCTGGAGCACGAGTGTCACTGTCCTTCGTGACGGTACAAACCCTTCGAGTCATTGTGTTTTCCTCTGCCAGATCTGCGCTCCCCTCCCCGCTATGCACACCGTACACTCTCTCTCTCTCTCTCTCTCTCTCTCTCTCTCTCTCTCTCTCTCTCTCTCTCTCTCTCTCTCTCTCTCTCTCTCTCTCTCTCTCTCTCTCTCTCTCTCTCTGCCTCTCTCTCTCTGCCTCTCTCTCTCTGCCTCTCTCTCTCTGCCTCTCTCTCTCTGCCTCTCTCTCTCTGCCTCTCTCTCTCTCTCTCTCTCTCTGCCTCTCTCTCTCTGCCTCTCTCTCTCTCTGCCTCTCTCTCTCTCTGCCTCTCTCTCTCTCTCTCTCTCTCTCTCTCTCTCTCTCTCTCTCTCTCTCTCTCTCTCTCTCTCTCTCTCTCTCTCTCTCTCTCTCTCTCTCTCTCTCTCTCTCTCTGCCTCTCTCTCTCTCTCTGCCTCTCTCTCTCTCTCTGCCTCTCTCTATCTCTCTCTCTCTCTCTCTCTCTCTCTCTCTCTCTCTCTCTCTCTCTCTCTCTCTCTCTCTCTCTCTCTCTCTCTCTCTCTCTCTCTCTCTCTCTCTGCCTCTCTCTCTCTGCCTCTCTCTCTGCCTCTTTCTGCCTCTCTCTGCCTCTCTCTCTCTCTCTCTCTCTCTCTCTCTCTCTCTCTCTCTCTCTCTCTCTCTCTCTCTCTCTCTCTCTCTCTCTCTCTCTCTCTCTCTCTCTCTCTCTCTCTCTCTCTCTGCTCTCTCTCTCTCTGCTCTCTCTCTCTCTGCCTCTCTCTCTCTCTCTCTCTCTCTCTCTCTCTCTCTCTCTCTCTCTCTCTCTCTCTCTCTCTCTCTCTCTCTCTCTCTCTCTCTCTCTCTCTCTCTCTCTCTCTCTCTCTGCCTCTCTGCCTCTCTCTCTCTCTCTCTCTTCTCTCTGC